TAGTTTCCCAGCCCCCATGCCACCTGGAGACCTGTCCCAGGGGTCGCTGAAGGGAGAGCGGTGCTTCCTACCCTACCCTCCCTTGATCTGGAGATACTACCTTTGCTGATGAGACCCCATGTCTGGTGAGGTTTCTGGCAGTCACAGCATAAGCAATAGCTTCCCACAAATAACCAACTGAACACCTGCCATCCCCGAATCCTGTCCTCCTGGAATTGCTATTAAATGATGCTCTTGGACAAGTGATTCTTTTTTAGACACAGTGATAGGCCTGTTATGTTTCCGGTGTTCAGCCCTGCCATTATTCCCTCAGCAAAGCCCCCAGGAAGAGCATGGAATTGCTATTAAATGATGCTCTTGGACAAGTGATTATTTTTTAGACACAACGATAGGCCTGCTATGTTTCCAGTGTTCAGCCCATTATTCCCTCAGCAAGGCCCCCAGGAAGAGCGGTTTGCACACGTCCACAGTATCTTGCTCTTTCTTGCCGTGGTGGCTTTTCCAATGAGCGCTCTGCTTCCCTCGCCTCTGCCTCCTTAATCTCACGTCCCTTCGGAGAAAACTGAGGCCTCCCCAGCAGCCACCAGCCTGGCTGTGTGAGTTTTTAGCCTCGCTCATCTGGATGGTGGTGGAGCCTTGTCTCTCTCCTCCGAATCCCCAAGCATTTGATGCTGTATGTCTTATAGCATTAAATTGCCCTGCTTTGCGTTTCTGTGTCTCCCATGAGACGGTGAGCTTCCTGGGGGCAAGCAGTGTCTCAAGTCACATCTATATCCCCCAGAACTGGCCAACACAGGTCTCCCCTCACCCCAGGTGCCTGGAAGATACTTGCCAATAAGTTGCTCTCGAATACACAGAACCCCAGTAGCTACATGATTCTATCCTCTAAAACCTTCTCAATCCCTAACGCGATGCTTGCTGGTCCAACCCTGGTGGCTTTTACCTGAGAGCCTGCTTTTCATCTGCTGTAAGAAATGGAGAGAACGCAGTGGGCTTTCCAGTGAGAGGCCTCAGGACTTCTCCTGGGCCAGCCGCCCACCCTCCCACCCCCAGCTCCACACACACATGGGTGGCACCACCCCTCTACCCCGGTGACCCCGAGCTTTGACAGTGCTCCCAGATGCCCTAAAACCTGTCACGGTGGCCCCTACCCCAGCCCCAACCCCAGCCTCACGATTCTGGAGAGTGGGGGGATCCTGGAAGCCCAGGAGCCACAGGCGGCGATGCCACCCAGCAGGTAGCCAAACATTTCAGTGTTGTCCTGTGGGAACAGGTGGTAGAGTCAGCACCCCAAGGAGACCACCGTGCACCCCAGACCCACCTTTCTGCTTTTAGTGGGTTCCTCCCAATAAGGGCTAACCCTGCCCACCACCATCCCCAGGCATTTTTGAAGGGACCATCCCTCCCCCATGCGCCCCCAGCTGGCTCAGCCTCACCTGCAGCTGGCTTCCCAGCAGCCTCCGCTGTGGCCCTTGGACAAGGCCTGAAGCCTTCGGGACAGCAGCCCAGAGAGCCCAGCAGGGGCCCAGGCTCAGGGGCAGAGTCAAGGCAAATACACTGGCCCTGAGCCGCCGCCTCCCCTTCCTCTCCTGGGAGCCATGACCTGCAACAGACACCCAAATCCCATATGGTTCCTGGGAACTTGGGAGTCTGGGAAGAACTAGTGTTGACCCAGCCCTGATGCCAGGGCAGGCTCCTATTCCCATGTTGTTCTGGCCAGATCCTCTCAACCTTCCAAGGCCCTATGGTTGTGCCCCCTCTAGAAAGAAGTCTTTCCTCCCCACCACCCATCCCCCTACACACACACACACACACATACACACACATACATACACCACAGACACACACATATACACACACACCACAGACACACACACACACACACACACACACCACACATACACACACCACACACACATACACACACCACAGACACACACATACACATACACACGGCTGGTACTCTCTCCTTCCTCAGCCCTCCTATAACTTTTATGTTCAAGGCAGGTGACATTTCCGGTATCATATATATGTATCTGAGTGCACAGGGTCGCCTCTCCTAGACTGGAACCCCCTGAGGGCAGGCACCGTGCCCTGGCAGTTTCTACAATCTCTGCAGAGCCTGGCACAGAGTAGAACTGGCACAAGCCTGGTGAATGTATCAATTGAACGCATGGTGCCAGGACATCGAAACTGAGTGGGACAAGGAGCATCGTCTCTGAAAATCTCCTTTTAATATAAGCCAGATGCTCCTCTGAACCATCCTAGCAAGAACAGTTCTCCTCTGGGCAGCACGGTGCAGCTGAGGGCATCTTTTCAAAAAATATATTTTTTGATTTCAGAGAAGAACGGAGAGGGACAGAGAGAGATAGAAACATCAATGATGAGAGAGAACCATTGATTGGCTGCCTCCTGCACGCCCCACACTGGGGATTGAGTCCGCAACCCGGGCATGTGCCCTGACCAGGAATCAAACTGTGACCTCCTGGTTCATAGTTCAATACTCAACCACTGAGCCATGCTGACTGGGCTGAGGGCATCTTCTATGACCCCACTGATGCAAGCATTCTCTTCTCAGGAATGCCCCAGTCCTCCACACTCGACTACTCATCCCATCTCAGTCACTTACAGCCCCTGCTCTGCCGGTGGCACATGCCTGTTCCTGGCATCCATTTCTGGGGCTTCACTGGCCATCCTGGACTCGCACACTGAGATCACTGCTCACCCCCAAAGCCATGCACCATCCTCTTCCTGGCCTTTGCCCACTGTTCTCTTCACCGGGAATGCCCTTCCCTGCAGTCCCAGTTCCAGCGTCACTCCTGCTCTGACACCTGCAGCCCCTCTTCCCCCTCTGGTGCCCCAGGTGTGCAGGCACCTCCCCACTAGCAGCTCGAAGGATGCTTAGGGCCCTGTCTCCCTCCTCTGGCTCGTTCATTCGTCTGTGCCTGGCAGGGGTCCAGGGTGATGATGAATGAGAGCATGAATGAAGGCAGGAACAGATGGCCACACACTCACCCGAATTAGACTTGAACTTGGAGCCGCAGACTGGGAAGAGAATGAACACAAAGTTCATCAGGTCAACAGCTGCTAGGTAGGCACCAGTGAAAACCTGGGAGCGGATGGAAATAGTCTTGATGGTCAAACACATTCAACAGCGCTTCTCACCCTGGGTCTCCCTCCACATCCATGTGCTCCACTGAGGAGTGCTTCCAGGGACGCCTCCCAACCCCAAGAAAGGTCGAGATCACCTCCCTTTGCTTGATGAGGAGGTGGGGTGGGTGCTTAAATGATGGGCCAGGAACCCAAACCCAGCCCCCCGCTTCCTATTCCACACTCTCTCCACGGTGTGATCGCACGGTGTGATCTCTGCTGTGTAACTCTGGCCCAGCCACTGACCTCTGGGCCTCAGTTTCCTCAGCTCTAAAACAGAGTTAATAATAGTGCCTTCCTCACTACTTAAGCAGATTACATGAGTCAATACACGGACAGCGCTTAGGCCAGCGCCTAGAGCAGCGGTTCTCAACCTGTGGGTCGCGACCCCTTTGGCGGTCGAACGACCCTTTCACAGGGGTCGCCTAAGACCTTCCTGCATATCAGATATTTACATTACGATTCATAACAGTAGCAACATCACAGTTATGAAGTAGCAACGAAAATAATTTTATGGTTGGGTCACAACATGAGGAATTGTATTTAAAGGGCCAGAAGGTTGAGAACCACTGGCCTAGAGGAAAGTAAAACGCACTCACCTGTAAATGCACTAGCTACCAGGACAGGATGGTGAGCGCTAAGAGCATGCATTTCTGGGTTTGAATCCTGGCACTGCTACTTACTAGAGGATTACCTTAGAGAAGTTATTTAACCTCTCTATGCCTCAGTTTCCACGTGTGTAAAACAAGATAAGAGCACTCATGTCATAGGACGATTTGGGAATTAAATGACTTAATACATGAAAAGCCCTAAGTGCTGAGTACAGTGTTAAGTGTTTAATAATTGTCAAGTGTTATTATTGGACTTGAGCTAGACCTCATTATTTTCCATCACCTAATGAGAAGGGGCACCCAGAATAAAAAGTGATCTGTTTCTGACAGTCCTGCTCAAAGCAGGGACTAGAACTCTCCCCATCCATGTCTCCCAACCTGTTCCTAGGCCGTCCTCCTTCATGCCCAGCTCGGTGGGCACAAGGCCTGGATCAGCCCTATGAGGTAGCCCTGCAGGGGGGCCTGCAGGGTTTCCTTGTGATACATGTTTTGGAATAGGCTCCTCCTATACAGGTTTGTTTGAGGGCCTAGAATTGCAAAAACTTATAACTGCTTCTCACTTTCTCCAAAGCCCTCATAACCACCTGGGAAGGGATTCAGACCCCACCTCCTCCCTCCCCGCATGAGCTAGGGCTGGGTCCTGGGCTCTAAAAACAATAGTACCGCCCTAGCCAGTTTGGTTCAGTGGATAGAGCATCCACCTGTGGACTGAAGGGTCCTGGGTTCGATTCCAGTTAAGGGCACATGCCCAGGTTGCGTGCTCGATACCCAGTTAGGGGGTGTGCAGGGGCAGCTGATCAATGATTCTCTCTCATCATTGATGTTTCTCTCTCTCCCTTCCTCTCTGAAATCAATAAAATATATATTTAAAAAAATAAAATAAAAATAAAAAACAATAGCACCAACAATCACTATTTATTGAGCATCTACTATGTGCCAGCTGCTGTTTTAAGTGATGGGATTACAGTAGTGAATACAACTTCTTGCCCCTGTGGAGCTAACATTCTAGTAGGAATTAAATAAAATAAGCAATAAACATACTAAGGAAAGTAGATGGTGTTTTGGGGGTAAGCCATGAAAAAAAATAGAGTAGGATGAGGGGGTCTGTGGTAGAGGAACATGGGTGGTCAGGGGAGGCCTTGTTGAGAAGGTGGCTTCTGAGCAAAGACGTAAAGGGGGTGAGCAGTGAGCCATGTGGCTGCCTGGACAAAGCATTGGAGGGGAGCAGAAAGACCAGCAAGAACACAGGCCCTGAGGCAAACTGTGCCTTGCATGGTGAGGGAACGAGACAGAAGCCATGGTCACCCACGGGCCTGACGCACCTGGATCGTGAGCTGTCTGGCCAGAATCGCCCCGACCGTGTCACACAGGCTGGCCAGGAGGCAGCACGCAGCACACAGCGCTGACTGGTCCTGTTTGCATTTCTTCGCACATCTCAGATAGAGAAGCCTGCGGAGACAGACAGGGGTGTGGACAGAACCTGGATGCCGGAAGTTTGGGCTCCCACAGCAGGTGTCTGGAAAAGACAGTTGTGACTTGTGTGTCCATATAAAGCACTTTCTCCACCAGGTATTCAGCGGGTGCTTTTGAACTTAGTTTACAGATCAGAGAAGAAAGGCCCAAAAGGCTCCCAGCGTGGGGTGGGAGCCAGACCTGCCTCTCGAATGAAGAGGAATTTCTTTCCTCCTACAGATCTGGCCAACTCAGGGTCATGACCACCTTTCCTTCAGTGCTGACAAACTAGCTGGGGGTTTTATGTTTTACTGCAGAGCAGAATTCATTGCCTACATTTAAAAAGGCAGCTTGTTTCTTTAAAATGAAAGAGAAATCCCTCTAATCTATCCATGTAATGGAGTGGCCAGCCTTCTGCCGGCCCATGTCCAAGCTGACTCCGTTTTGGGTACACGTTCCTCACACAGAGGGAGAGCAAAACTCCCGAAGATGCCATGGAACTTAGGGCTAACCTCTCCCTGAGGCCCTCCACGACTGGCTGGGTTATCTCCCTTACTGCCTCTACCTGCTACCCCCTATACAAGCTCAGAACATGCTGGAAGGTGCCAGAGGTCTCTCTGTCAGCATCACTGACTAGATCTCAGAAGCAGTGGGTGCTAGATGTTTCCCAGCTACTTTTCTGTTGGGGAAACCGAAGCTCCGCAGTCGTTTCGTTTCCTCATCCTTGGGACTCACAGGGTGGTACTTCCTTGGGACCATTTGACTGGTTCTGAGCATCAGCCCCTGGGAAGAATGGACGAGGGTGGAAGGCTATTTGGGGAGGCCTAAAGCCCAGAGAAGGAAGAGCAGCCTTTAACTTGGGCCCTGGGCCCCTGAAACTGATTCGAGTTTTAGGAACGAAGGCTCTCAATTAGAAAGTCTGAGTTAGACCAAGATTAGAAATAGTTTATCTCAACCCTCACATTTGAAAGAGGAGAAAACGGAGGCTTATGGTAAAAGGGGAGTCAGCAGTGGGCCTTTAGCCTCAGGAGGCTTTGCTCTGAACCCCGCTGCTGCCCAGACCTTTCCCAGCTCCCAGGGGTTGGGGATGCCAGGCTGACAAACAGCTCGGAAGAGGAACCATCTCTAAAGACAAAAGAAGGTTAAGGGACGGTGAAGCCCTAAAAACAGTGTGTCCAGACCTAAGCAGGGTGAGAAAGCAGGGGCTGCCTGGCTGGGCTTCTCTCCAAACCTTGGTGCCCACGTCGGTAAAATGCCTACCACGAGGACCTCCGAGGGTGGCTGTGAGGAACAAGGAAGATAGTGCACGCCAGCACCTCCTAAGTTCCATCCTCTGGTCTGGCTTGGCAAGTTGGTTAACCTCTCAGAACCTCAGGCTTCCTGATCTAAGTGGGTAATTACAGTCCCTACCTCCTGGGAAGGTGGCAGGATTAAATGAGTTAATGAATGCAACGCTAGGCCCACAGTGAATGTTCTAGTGTCTTTTTAGTCCTACTCCAGTGACTGGGTAGCGAGGCTGAGAATCTGTAACACTACCAAACGCCGGAGGGGGACATCCTTAGTGCCTAAGGTGAGCTGGTGCCAGCCTTCTAGGGGTGCCAGTCCTTTCTCCTCCGCCAGGGACTATGTGGATGACACCAGCCGACGAGCTTGGGAGAGGGTGACTGAAGACCTAGAGGCTATCTTTACCCGGACTTCACCCAGGTTACAGGGACCCCCTGGCCCAGCCACTCCGGGTACTGGGCAGACCAGGGCAAACTCTGTGGGCAGAGTCAGACCACCCCTTCCCCATTTCCCAGCTGAGAGGGAAGTTGAGGCCAGATACATCAGACTTGCCCAAGGTCCTTGCCCTCTGCCAAGGGTTGGTGGCAGAACTGGAGCAATAGCAACGTTTCATGAGCACTTACTAAGCACTTTGCCGGTGCCAACTCATTTAATCCTCCCTTCAGTCTCAGGAGTTATCATCCCCTTTACGTAAGGAAAATGCCCAGAGGTTTTAGAGCTTGCCCAGCTCACACCGCTAGTCAAAGGGGAAAGGCTGACAACAGAACCCAGGACTGGCGGCTTCCAATCCAGGGCCCTGCCCACTGCACCACCCAGCCTCCTCCTGCTGGCCCACCGCCCAGCCTCCCAGTGCGTGCAAGCCGGAAAAGACTATCCGACTTCAGTCTACATAGAAATGTTAGTTTCGATCCTGGAACTGGGCTGCCTCCTGCCTCCTCCCTGTCTGCCCCCTTCCCTCTAGGTTTGCAAGAGGGAATTAGCAGCGGGGTGGGGAGGTAGTACCCTATTCCCCCCGCAGCCCAACCGCCCCCACCCTGGCGCCGCCGTCCCTGCCCCATTACAGTGTGTGGGCGGCGATCCAGCAGGAGGAGGCGCAGAGCCACAGGCTGAAGGAGATGCAGACGCGGTGGCGGGCGAAGCAGCGGTCCAAGTAGCCCCAGTCCCAAAGGGCGGGCACGGGT